GGGGGGGGGGGAGGTAACAACAATAACAAACAATTAGAACCAAACAAATCCAAGGCAGAGGCGAAGCTGATCAGAAATGACCCCGGTCCCTCTATACACTCATTTTGGTGCATCAGCATATTATTAAAAAACACGCCTGGAAAACTGATGAATATTCTGCTGAAACCCTCCCAAGACCTCCCCTAGGGTTCCTGACCAGTTACACTGCATCCTAATCACCTGTTCACCCCAAACTAGATCAAAGACCCTCGTGAGGTGGAAACCCTTGTTCATATACTGTCTCGGGTGCTCAGCCCTGGCAAACAGTAGGTGCCCAGGCATCTTTGTGGAACAAAAGGCATGAAGTCAGAGTCACAAAGATAAACTCTCATCTTTCCTGGACAGAACTCACTCCCTTAGCACCAATTGTAGGGAGCCCGTAAAAAATATATACTGTAGTAAAATAAGATACATGGGATGAGAATATAGCTTGGTAAGCAAGTAAGCTTCATTGGAATAATTAAAAGGGCTGTTAACCCAAACTAATCCAGATATAACTTGAGATGTGTTATGAACTAAGCACTATGGAACATTTATTTGATGGCTCAAAACAGCATTAAGTTAGTAACCCCAGTATGGTTTTACACCTCAGTTGAAAGCTTTCCCATTTATGTTCGGGGATGTTTTATATTTCTAATTGGAATTCTGAAAGGACTGCTTCAAAAATGACTTCCTTTAAATGCAAAAAGCTATACTGACCAAGAACCCATTTAAATTGAATTCTTTGAAATTCTCCCAACCTCCTTGCTTTGACCAGAAAGAGAGGAAGTTCTCCTTGCTGCAGGGCACCCGCCAATGCTTGAAGGTGCTCAGGGCACCCATTGCACCCCGGGAACCTGGCTAGCCAATATATTTCCTCTCTATATGCAACCTATATTTTCCAGCCTTCAAAGCAAGATTTCTAATTGTTCTAAAACCTTATTAGAATATGCTTTCTTGAAGCTTCCACAGAGGAAAACAAATTAGTTGGCTATAAAATAAGATAATTTTCTGTCTTTATTGCCTATTTCCTCCCCCATCAGCATGTAAGTGTTGTAAGATACTTCGTGCTATGTGTAAGGCCTTGGGCTACTCATGGGTCACCCTCAGGTACCTCTCTGCAGACAGAAGCTGAGACCATGGGGCTGGAGAGAGCGGGGGCAGTGGAGCAGGTGGCATTGCCACGATAGGCTGAGCCTAGCCGACTGCTGTAAGAAAGCTGGCTTTATTCTGGCAGAGGAAAGCAGTGAGTGTTTACAGAAGCAATGATCCGATTTCCACTTTCAGAATATCAGGGCTACACCGGGTGGAGAGTGCCCTGGAAGAAGCCAAGAATGGAGGTGAAGAAGCCAGGTAGGAGGAACGGTTACCAGCTGGGACCTTGGTTCTTCTTGTTGAGTCGGAAAAGATTTTAAGGTCAATGAAAGTGAAAGCAAAGCAAAGTGGGATCTTTTGAAAATACACTCCAAGCCAGGAGCGGACCAGTTGAGAGAGACAATGGCCTCGAACTCCTGGGTTATATGGTTCAAATGAGGGATTTTTCTGGGTGGAGACTCATTTGCAGTCAAGATGGATTGACAGAAAAGGGTTGATAACTATTTCGTCTGCACATGCCCTTTCCTATAATACATACAGAAAAACCCACATGTGAGAGAAAACCGCAATGCAAATTTTATTATAATTAGCCCAGGGCGCTAGCAAGGTCCCACAGAGGTCAGGTTGTGCTCCTCTGAGTTGGCACCTGGAACTGGCTGGTTCTGAACCTGGCTGCTGGTGGGCTGGTGGTCTGCTGGCTGCTGGGATGCCCACAGAGGGGTGGTCTGAAGGCAACGTTGGTCCGAACCCTGTTCAGGACCCCCAGGCATTCCCACCCCAGCCGCTCACGTCTAACTTCCTACCTAACAGAGGTGTCACAGAAATCCAGACAACACAGCTGTGGCTGGGACCAAGAAGGTGAGAGGAAGATGGGGAGAAGCAGGCAGATGTATT